GGGGCGCCGGCGGTGCCGGGGCCCGTCCGCGGGCGCGCCCCGGGGCCGCCCGACGCGGCGGGGCTGCCCCGGGCCGGCCCCGCTCCCTGCGCGGCGCAGAGCTCGCCTCCCTTTGAGCGGCGGCTCGGGGGCTCCGCTCGGTTGTTTCCCGGCGGCGCGGGTGCCCGTCCTGCTCCCTCCTGCCTCTGCGCTCCGCCCCGGCGGCCGCTTCCCGCTCCCGCGGGTGGCTCTGACGGCCGGGAGGGACCCGGCAGCTGAGCCCCGAGCCCGCCTTTGAAAAAGCAGAAATATCCCATAGCGCGGGCGGCTCGAGTTGGCGCGCGGGGAGAGCTGATCGCTTTTCCGTGGAAGTTCGCGACAGGTGACAGCTCCTGCTTCAGATTGTGTGCTTGGAGCTCTTGACCCACTTTGTGTTTAATCTGCCTCGCCGCAGTTACCCCTGACTGAGGGCTTTGCATGTCAGATGCCGCAGGAGTGGTTAATAAGATGTGTCAACTAAAGAGCCAAAGGGAAGTGAAACTGCTCTAATTCGGTTGTCCAGACCAGCTCCGTTTCAGATTGTGTCCCTGTACTTGGACACACTCAAATCCTTAACAGGATGTAAACAGGGAAATTATTGATCGCTCAGCTATTCCTAAAGAGTCTTTATAGAATAAGCCTTTTAAACAAAAAGAACCTACAGCAATTATATTTTCAGTAATATGTGCCTGTATGGGAGATATTTGCTAAAACCTGAGCCAGAACAGGCAGAGCTGTGCTGGTTTCTTCCTCCTGACACCTTTTATGTTTAGACACGTTTTATGCTCAACACAAGAGAACCCCTCTATGCTTTCAAAATTGAAAAAGAAATAGCCTGCTGGGCTTCAGCCATCCACTATTTAGTGGAGTTTTGAAGTTTTGTTTTTACCTTTAACAGAATTTAAGGTTCCATCTAGGAGTGTGTGGAGCTTGTCTGGCTGATGCTGCTGTGGTGTGCCAGGTGCTCATATCTCAGTGCTTTGTGTTAGTAGCTTTTTCAGCTCGGAGTTGTAAGCGTATGCAGTCACTCCTTTCTGTGGGGAAAAGGCTGAGGGAATGCTCTGCAGCATCAGGGATGAGGAGAAACAGTCATTGACACTTTTCTTTGATCCTGATGGCAGAATTGTGTTTCTTTGGTGCTCTCGTTCAGGAAAGTACTGCTGAGAGAATGTAACTCCTGTGTGTCTTGATGCCTTAATTTCAGTTTTCATGTTTTCCAGATTCTGTTCTGCATTAGTGTGAACTTCACATAAAGTGTTAGCAAGTTCTCCTCACAGTTTAGTCAGACAAAACAATCCTTTTTCCAGCCCCAGAATCAAGGTCACCATTGCAGCTTCAACCCCAAAATGTATAAACAGTGAATTGAGGAGAGCAGACTGAGAGGGTGGGACTTCATAACCTGGAGCTGGAATTGGACAATTAACCCCAATATGGAAATGGACCAAAACTTAAAAACATATGAAAACTAGTGACCCTCATCCATCTTGGGTGTAGCCACAGCCAGGCTCCTGTACTGCCCAAGGTGTGTCCTTTGAAGGCCTTTTAATAAATCCCTACTTTATTCCTTTAACTCTGCCTTGCCTCTGTTCTAGGTAGCCTCTCAAGGCATCAGTCTTCCCCAAGGAAATGATGGGATAGCTGTGAAATTTGCTTTGAAACTTGACAAATATTTAGAATTTTCTGTTTTGCAGCACGAGGACTGAAAGCTTTGATATGCTGGCCCTTCCCTCAGGAATGATGAGGAATCAGTGAAGGCACTTGCTGTATCAGTGTCTCTTTAAATCATAGCAGAGGGTTGAATTATCATTTTTCTTCCAGTTCTTGCAAATGAATGGCTTTGCATGACTCTGCAGGGAGGTGTGGGGTGTTTGTGTTCCAGGCTCACAGGTGTGGTTTTATTGCTACAGTTAACATTGAAAAGTGCTGAAAAATGCCAAAAAAATAGTTTGAGTGAAGAACCTGAACTTCTCGTTAGTTTTTTGGGATGTCACTAGTTTTTATTTTGCACTTTCTTTAGCTCAGTTAAGGTCTTAAAAATACAGCTGCCTGTCATGCCAGCGTGCTTGTTGTGGCAGGTTGGGTGTTTTGGGAAACCAGTTCCCTCAGTCAGTTTGGCTTTCTCCGTGGTTTGATGTGCAGGTTGTTTAGAACTGATTGATCTCCGTAGTTTCAAAGTGTATTCTGTGTTCAAACCTGAGCTTCTTGAGTCTTTCCCAGAAAATCTGAGAAATGTCTGAATATGTTTTGCCCATACTGATGTTGTCTGTGAGCCTGGTTTTGTGCACAGTGTTGTTGTCATTTTGGTGACTTGCTGTGAACTTAGGAAGAATTCCTACAGATCCCAAAGCTGCTCCCAGACTGGTTCAGCTGCATTTTACCACTCTTCCTCTCTACCAACCTTTCTAAAGGAAAATCAGCTCTTTGGCAGTCCACCACCTATGGAGAAGGTGCTGTAAAGAGTTGGTTTGCAGGAGAGCTTCTTTTCCTGAGGGAACTTCTGCTGATGGGATGGTTTTTGAGGAGAGGTTGGGACATAGAGGCTGATCCTTTGAGGAAAGACTTACAGGTGATGTTAGGAACTGTTGCTTCATCTTGAGCAGCAATATCAAAACTGGG